ACACACACACACACACACACACACACACACACACACACAGACGCACGCCCCTGGGAACATAGTTACCAGAGCAGATGTGGCAGCTATGGTGCAAGGGAATGGGTTGGATCAAGATGATCATTAGGTGTCCAGCTCAGTGCTAGATGAGTCCACTGATGGACTATGCTCTCATTGGAGCCTGTATTTTGCATAAGAGGAAAGTGATCTAGAGAATGAATCAATTTGCCCAAGATCACACAGCTGGTAAGAGGTAGAGCTGGGATTTGAACCCGAGTCCATCTGACTGCAAAACCTCTGCTTTATCTCCAAATGGGGAAGTCTTTATCCAAGGTAGCCAGAGGATGGGTAACTTCTTTTATCATAATTAAGATAAAAGAGTCTATCAAGGTCACCCCTAGACAGTATCCGTGAGTATCTAGTCAAAGAGTGAATTGGGAGAAAGGTAGCTTTTTTAAAAATATGCGCATATCAGGAACACAGCAGCATGTAGTGAAAGTATTAAGCTGAAGGCAAGAGACTGAAACCTTCATGGGGTGCTTGGGGCACAGCCCGGGAGCAGAGGCGAGGGCCAGAGGAGACTCACGGGCGAAGCAGCTTCCACACTAAGCACTCCTGGGCCTGGAGGGTCCAGGGATGACTTTGGCTACTTCCAAGGTCTTCCTGGCTTCTGACAGGCACCATCTAACTGGCCTGTTCAGTGCTCCGGTCTCCTCCAAACTGAGAAATGCTGAGACCCACTGGGTGGTAGCGAACCCCACCTCCCTGCCTAGATCTTTCCAGTCCTGCTTGGCATGCCCAGCGCCCCCTGGAATCAGGGTTGCAAGGTGGGTCTGTTCTTTTAGCTTTCACTCTGCCCTGCTGCAGGGAAAACGATACACAGACACCCCTTCCCCACCCCCCACCGCATCACGGTAGCCGTTGCCAATTGATCATAATGTTCTTGGCCAATGGGCTCCATGGCCTCCATACAGTGGCCTAGCTAAGCCATTCCCTAATTGATCAGAATTGGCCCATGGAAGAATAGATACGGGCCATCACATGATAGTGACTAGGTTCTTACCATGTGCCCACCCCCTCCCTCTTTCCAGCTGTCTACCCGTGGGTTAAAAAGAAAATGGTGAAGTGTTGGAAGTCTAAGACAGACTGGGAAGGAACAACGTGGGGACAGTGCCCACATTTTGTCTCCTGCGGTGCCCCAGCACCAGGCACAAGGTCTGCCGAGAAGCGGCCCTTAGGAAATATTAGTGAACTAAAGAATTAATGAATGATAAATGTGACTTTCTTTCTTTTTTTTTTTTCTTGTGGAACACACACTGAGAAGCACTTAGGGGAATAAGAGTAAAATAAACCTCTCATGGGAATATTTTAATCAGGCACATTCAGCCCCAAACCCTTGGCCTTTCCAGTGATTTCTGGTGGCTGCCCCAGATCACAGGAGGAACAAGAGACCCCTTGTTAGTAAACCTGGAAAGGCTGGGACATTTGTTTCCAATTTCCATGGACACCGGATCTAGGGTGCAGGGAATACCGTGCTCAGGTTGGAATTCAAACACCGTCCCTTTCCCTCATAAACTGTGACCCTCCCCAGCAAGCCCCTTTTCTTCTCTAAGCTTCAGGTTTCCCGGTCTAAGATGAGGGGTGAATGGGATTCTTGCCTTCTTTGCCTCAAGGGGTAAGTGGGAGAACACACAGGACTATACACTGTAAAGTGCTGTTACTCATGCCCTATTTGGTCTCTTTTCCTGACCTTCTCTTCCAGCTTTGGTCCTTCCAGTCAAGGACAAGCCACCACCTGGGGCTAAACATAGATTTCAAAGTCTCCAGGAACCCCTCCACCCCTCCACTCTCTAGGTTGAAAGGATATTTGTCCTTTTCTAGCAACATAGGTGTGTCACAGGGAGATTAAGGAGTGTCACCCATGAGCAGGAGCTGTGGCCAGGTCAAGAATCCTCAGCTACTGCCCACAAGTTTTGCTTTAACCCAAGCTATCATTTTTCATGTGCTGACTACATGCCAGACATTTTACCTGTATTATCTCATTTCGTCCTCCCAAAAACCATGCCAGGGAATTCCTATCCCCCATTTAACACACGAGGAAACAGAAACTTAGAAGTTCCTTGCCCGAGGTTACCCGGCAGGGATGGAAGGAGAGACAGGGGGACTTGAAAGCCCCTCTGTCCCACTCCAGCACTGCGCGAGCTCTCTCCTCTTCCCACAGCTCTGCCCCCAGAGAGATCTGCTTTCAAACCCAGACCCATCCTGACCCGCTTCCTAGGGGACCCTTGTGCAGCACGTGCCCATGACACAGAGTCGATGGCTGGGGACGGAAAGGTCACCCACTACCTCTGAGTCCAGAGTTCTTCTAGTTCTTCAGGGGAAAATCCCCGGCTTCTCAGCCTCCCCCTCGCAAACATCACTCCCACATTAAAAAAAATAAAACCACAGTGTTTCGTGTGCCCTCTAGGTCACAGCAGGTGGAGAGAGCGAGAAGTGTTAAGGTGGCCTCTGCTTACCCCTGGGCCCTTCTTGGGAGCAAGCGTACCTCAGAAGCAAGAAATGTGACTCCGCACACGCAGCCCGGAGAGAAAAGCTACCACACGAAGTTCTCCCAACAAGTCTGTGGCAACCCCGCGGGCTCTGGGGGTCTTGAAGGGGGCCCCCAGCTGCTGTCCGCATTCCTTCTGCCCCCAAACCCATCCTACTTGCCACAGAGTCCATGCATCCACGGCATAAGGAGTGGAGTTTTCCGGAGGGAAAGAGGCCAAGGCCCGGAAGCAGTTGAGGATGGAGATGACGTGGTATTTAGCATGACAGTGGTGTCCCGGGCCCCAAGCGCAGGCTGAGGTGAATTAGTTCAGTGACCACAGTGAGCGAAGGTTTTTATAAACATAACCTAATTGTATTACTTCAAAGTCCTGAAGCTTATTGCCCTGCTTAATGATGTGTCACGTTATTTATAGGGTAAGACAATGAGACTTCTATTGATTTAATGCACTTCCTTAAAGATCGTCATTGCCACAGCCGTAAAAACACAGTTATTCCCAGACAACTCAATTATGTCCCCTGCATCTATAAACCACCCCGTGCCCCACACAGCTGCACACAGGAGGCAGGGAGGCGTGAGACCAGGGTGGGGGGTGCAAGCCCCCGGGGGCAAAAGGCAAGGTTCTGGATATGGTAAAGGCAGGTGCAGGGGGGCTTCATCCAGTCAGGGAGGAGGGGCAGCATGAAAAGCCCTGGATGGGGAGCATGGAGCACTCCACTTTGTCTTGGACCCATCCAGTGGAGCTCAGTGACACTCAGCAAGCTTCCTCCTCCCTCTGGGCCTTAGTTTCTCCAACTGCAAACTCGGGGTGCTAAGCCCAGTGAGACTCATAAGGAAGGTCTCTCCTGGCTCCCGCATTCTGTGGTTTTAAGAGTTATGTTGATTTGGTTTCTGAGATGGGGTGGCTGAGCCATGTGAAGAAGGTGGCAGCACCCACCCTTTGTGTCCATCGAGAGCTCTCCTTTCTCAATTAATTGATAATAACAATGACAACAGGAAGCAGTTCTCACCCTGCTACTTATTAGCTGTGTACACAGGCACTTGACTTGGCATGACTGAGACTCATTTTCTGCGCCTGCGAAATGGGGATGTGAATACACGGACCTGTTAAAACACATAATGCAAGTATGGAATATTTCTGTCTTTCTCAAAATGCCGTGACACTAACTGCTTCCCTTTCAAGGTGGGACAAGAATGGCTACTTAAGCGCCCATTTCACAGGAAGGGAAAACTGAGGTGGGAAGGGACTGAAGCTCCCAAGGTGAGTGGCAGAAAGGTGGAAACAAGGAGCCTGCAGTACAAGGAAGGAGTTTTGGAGTCCAGCCCACTACCTTAGGGTCTCAGAAAAGGCCTGAACTGAAAGAATCCTGAGGTATCATCATACGGCCCCTCATCCTATCCATGGAGAAACCGAAGCCCAGAGAGGGGCAGGGAATGCCAAAGGCCACACAGCTTAGACATGGCCGAGCTGGGGTCTAGCTTGTCGGAGGGGACTTACCTTTCTGATACTGGAGCCACAGCTGTTGCTGGACCTTCTTGCTGGGGAAGTGGATGATGCAGGTGAGCTCGGAGCCATAGAGGGCCTCAGCAATGTAGTGGGAGCCGTAGTGCTGAATGAAGGACAGCAGCTCCTCCCGACTGCTCTCCCTGGTCAGGATCTTGAGGACGTTGTTGAAGCCTGGACACAGGAGAAGCATGTGGAGGGTCAGATCTGGGAGGCTGGTGGCGGGCAAGTTATAAGCGGCCAGGGGCTCTCTCCAGCCTGGATTTGGTGTCACCCCAGGATCAGCCTGGTGGCTGCCGTTGTCTGAAGGAAACCCCCCCTCGCTCACACAGCAAAAGGTTGCTGTCTCTGGTCGACGCGCAAGACACTGCAGCCAAGAGGGAACCAACGGCAGAGGAAGGCCTCAAGCCTGTTGACCGAGGTCATGGGACCTGAAAGTCACCATCAGGAAATCAAAGCTGACGTCTGTCCCGAGCAACTAAGGGGCACCAAGCACACTGCTCGCTGTTTCTCCCACTCGTTCCAGTTTAGTCTCAGCCCCAATGCTGCAAACCCCACTGTGTACATGGGCAAGTCAAAGCTCAGACTCTGAATGATTTCCTTGGTCTCCCAGCCAGAGGAGCTAGGCCTCCAAGCCCCTTCCGCTCTCACTCCAAAGCATATGCATTTTCCACTGCACCCAGTTCCCAGGGCTTGAACTGCCCACAGCTGGAGCCCCGGGGCTGCGCTGGCCCAGGCTTGGCAGATATCCTGATGTCCTCGGATCTGATCCCTGGCTTGGCTTCCTAGAACACTGCTTCCCTTTCTGCCTCTACCTCCCTGAAAGAGTGGTAGTTCCATCTCCTGACAGTGTCAAGGGCCTCCTTGCTGCTCTTAGTCCTGTGCCAAGGAGACCTAGGTCCTCAGTGCCTAGCACAGAGCCTGCGCAGCAATGACTCCATAACCACAGCTCCGTGCTCCTTGCTCTGACAGGCAGGTCACCAAGCTGTTCTTCCGAGAGCCTTAAGACCTGCCTGAGCTCCTTCCTGCTACCAATGACCAGTCTACCCACGACCTCACCTGGTATTCCAGGTCTCCAAGGGCATCTCCCATGAGCCACCTGTATTAGGCTTTACATCCAGCCAAATCAGCCTTCTTAGGTCTCCTAAACGTGACCTGAGATTTCCACCATCCTTTCCTCATTTACAGCCCCCAAACTGCAAAACGTACACACATACACACCACCGTTCACCGGAAATGGCCTCTCCACCTCTTCCCTAAGTCATTCCTATGCTCTAAGGCTCTGGAAAGTCACTCCCACCCTCCCAAGAAGCTGTTCACACAATCTTGGCCTGGGGCACCTAGGCTTTGCACCTTCAGTGGGCACCACCTTGAAAGCAGAAGCTCCATTCCACTTATCTTTGATTGTGCACATGCATCCTTCCCCACCCCACCCCAACCAGGTACAAGGGCACAGTTCCCGGGACATGGCAGAAACACCAACCGCCATTATTATGAAAGCAATGGATTCTGTGCCACATCAAAGCAAACTGTAAAAGAGCAAGCAAGCTCTCCTTCAACATTAAACATGAACTCCAATTTGCCAACATTTGATTTACAAGGGGGTTCTCAAGAGCATCATCATTGATTAATTAAAGCTGATACACCTCTGTAGTTCTAACAGATACATCGCAGTCTGATTCACAAGTGAGGTGCGAGGGTGTGGGTGGTGGGGAAAATAGAAACATGCCTCAAAGAATGAGTGTTTGATTAGGACAAACTCCACCAATCTGTTAACTCCTGCAACTGGTAATTAATACAGCAGTGTTAATGATGAGATTGTTTCTCTTAAATAATAAATAACCATGGAGATGCTCTGTGGCTCTTTATCCAGGCAGACAAAACTGCAATCAAATCCCTGCTCTCCTCCTGTTCGGCCACTTACTAGCTGTGTGACCTTGGGCAAGTTACTTAACCTCTCTGACCCTCAGTTTCCTTATCTGAAAAAAAATGGGATAAATAATGTCTTCCTTGCAGGACTGATAGAAGTCCTAAGACATAAAATGTTATAAAGCACTTAGCCAACGTCAGCAGTAATTACTATTTATACTTCCCAGATGGAAAGTCCTCTGATTCCTAGGCTAAAAGAGTTTTGTGTTGCTCAGGAACAAAATTATCCTGAAAAAGAAGATAAGAAAAGTGCTGGCAAATACATAGGAAGCGCCCGGACAATAACCCAGTGGCAGTGTTATGAGTAAGAGCCAGGGTAGAAAACCCCATCTTTCCAGAGTCCTTCACTCATTCCGAATTTTTCTGTTTTCATTTTTTTTATTCCTTTATCAAACAAGAGTATCAACCCTGTGTTGATTCTCTGTTACAGAGACTATAGGAATATAGGAAACAGGGATATGGAAATGGATGGGGCCCACACTGTACCTGCAATTCTTGGGTCAGTGTGGGAAACAGACATGGCTCAGATATGAATCAAGCACATTGGTGCTTTAATACAGGTAGTTGCTTTTTTTTTTTTTTTTTAAGATTTTATTTATTTATTTGAGAGAGAGTGAGAGAGAGACCATGAGCAGGGGGAGGAGCAGAGGGAGAAGCAGGCTTCCCGCTGAGCAAGGAGCCCGATATGGGACTCGATCCCAGGACCTTGGGATCATGACCTGAGCCGAAGGCAGACGCTTAACCGACTGAGCCACCCAGGTGCCCCTATAGGTAGTTGCTTGCACGGAATTCCTTGAGTTATTCTGGGGGAAGTGGAGGATGCAGGAAGAATCTCCCAGTACTGCAAGATGTGCTCCCTGGGCAAGGAGATCCAGGCAGAGGGAACAGCATGTGCAAAGTCACAGAGGCATGAAAGAACATGTCCCATTCTGAGAATTATAAATTGTCCGCATCAGCTGACACACAGGGTGTGTGCAGGTGGAGCGGGGGCATTGTATGTGTATGTGTGTTGGAGGAATATGTGTTATTACTGTATAGGAGATGGGTAGGAAAGGAAATCATCCAGAAGAGACAAGAACTTAAAATCCACAAGCCTGAAATATATAGAACATAAATGTCATTTATGTATAATGTCGTTTATGACATTATAGATTGTCATTTACCCCCTCTCCTATTCACCCTTCCCTGCACTACTATGATACCCCTTCCTCCAGGAAGCCCCTCTGACTGCTCAGGACAGCTCCCTCCTCTGGGGTACCGCTGCCCCACTATTGCATAGAACTTACTCCAATGTAAGGATGTCACTGTCTGCTTGTCCATCCACCCTCCCTGTGAGCTCCTTCATGGCAGGGAGGGCCTGGCCTCATTCCCTCAGCATCCCCAGCCCAGGGCCTGGCACAGCCCAAGTCCTCAATAACATGTGCTGAATTACCCCAAGCCCCCTGGCTGCCCGGGGAGGGGGGCAGTCCTCACCTGCTGAGAGAGTGATGGTGCTGAGCTTCACACGATAGAGGTTGCTTCGGACCCGCCATTGCTGCACCATAGGGTAACCCATGGCCTCGTCATACCTGACGTCCCCTGGAGGACAGAAGGGGAAGGTCAGGGGAGGCCAGCATTTAGAGAACACTCACCAAAACTGGGCTCTGAGTAATGGCCACTGCTTCTAAATAGGCAGAGGCTCAGCCTTAGCGTGCAGGCTCTCACTGGAACCAACAGCTTTATCCGGACCTGCCTCCAGGCCTCTTCCTGGCCTTTGATCTCAGCCCCCATCCTTTTTCTCTTCCCAACAGCTTGCAAGCAAGCCAAAGTAGATTTAGGATTCCGCTTAACCCTGCAGGCAACTTGCCATGGGTCATTAGGCAGCTCTGTGCCTCAGTTTCCCCATCTGATACTATGGCTACCTGTGCTGACATTACTTCACAGGCGCATTGTGATACTCAAATAAGGCAACAGAAATGGAAGTCTTGCGGTGACCTAGCAATGCTGTACAGACTGGGGGGTCAGCAAACCACAGCCCATCCTGCACACACTGCCCTATGGCGGCTTTCGCACAATGACCGCGGAGATGAGCGGCTGCCTGCAGGGCCTAGCACATTTATGATCCGGCCCTTTGTGTTTGCTGACCCATGTGGACCACTGTTTCCTAACATGGAAACATGGGATGTGCATAAGGATCTCATGAGATACCTGCACACACACAGAAAAGCCCACATTTCAAGTAAGACTGAGTTAAATGAAGTTAAACAAGATTTTTAAAAATCTGTATAATTTCTTAGCACCTTGACTAGATTAATATGCATTCTAAAGCTCTATGAAGGTAGCAGTGTACAGCATTTTGCAAACTTTTACGACCGAGGAATCCCATTTTTCCAGAGGGTTCACTGAAACTCATGTTCCATAGAATGCATTTTGGGAAACACAGGTATAAACAAAGACAAAAACAACACAATGTTAGCAAGCGGTAATTCTGAGTGGTGGGTGTATAAAAGATTCTTGTTTCCTGATTTATATTCATCTGCATTTTCTAAATTTTCTGCTGTAAGCATTGAAAACTCTTTGTCTACAATCAGGAAGAAATACATGGAAAAGAAATGCTAGTCACATCAGCAGTTAATATTGTTGTTATGTATCCTCTGCAAATGGCAGACACATTTTCTGTCCTTTTCTCTTGTCCCCTGGTGAGGAGGCACTTAAAGAGATATTTGATACCAAGATGAAAATGAGAATCTCATTGGAACAAATGATTTCTTCCTGGACATTACTGCAGTATTAAAGTTGTCCATTACTGTCAACTTTTTTTTTTTTTCCCCTCCTTAGCCTTTTCAGGAATAACATAATTTTTTTTAGAAGCTTTCATTTTAAAGTAAAATATTCATGATCTCCAAATATATGTCTACTGGAGCGAGGTTGTTTTGTTATAAATATGTCCTCTCTGTTTATCTGCTCTGCCTGTCCTGTCCTTCCTCTGGAGAGGTTGGGAAGGGAAGGAGAACGGGTCAGGGAGGAAGGACAGGCCGTTGTTTCGAGTCAGGGAGGAGAAACCAGTTTGCACAGCAAAACCAGACACTTGCGGCCAAGCAGCCTCTGCCCCATCCTTTGTGCTCATCCTGATTCACAGCAGGCTTGAAATGGGTGTTGGAAACTGGGGCCCATCCTCAAGAGAGGGAGGCAGAGCATTCTGATGCAGGCTGTGGATGCAGTTCATTCACTGGGTGGCATGATATCCAAAAGAAAAAAAAATGCTACCTCTTTTGAATATCAAGACATGTATAAAGCCATCATCTTTGCCCCTCACACCCCATAACTGGTCAGCCTTCTGCCCTTCACTTCTCTCCATCCCTGGTCCTTCCTGGATTCCAGGCTGGAATATAAGCTCCTCCCGTGGAATGTCAGCTTCTTGAGGTTGAGGCCATGGTCTTTATTATTCTCACTCCTGCAGAGCCTAGAACAGAGCCTGTTACATAATAATAGGCTCCCAACAAATGCTGATTTCCTGGCTCACCTACTCACCTGCATCCTATTCCCCATCATAAGCCCATCCCTAGTCCTTACTCATCCTTGACTCCCATCTTACCTGACTCTATCCTAGATCTCTACCAAAGATTAGGGGTAAAATGAGGCTCTGCAATGGAGGGAGGTATTTTTCCTGGTAATTACTTTTTTTTTAAATTCTAGAAATGTAACAGTTTCCTTATTAGGATGCCTCCAAAGATCCTCAAATCAAAACAAATAATCCTAACAATTTGAACCACTAACACAGAACCACGAGGCACCAAGCATTTTATACCCACAATCTCCAGTACTCACCCAATGCTGACAAATAATTGTGATACCCCCGATTTCAGAAGAAGAAACTGAAGCTCAGAGGAGAAAGTGCTCAAGGACACACAAAGATCAGACACAGATCCAGGGTCCTTCCCATTAGAGCACAGCACCTCCCCATGGACCATGGTGCTATCTGTTTTAAGGGGTGGTGAGCTCCCTGTGACTGGGGGTATCCAAGAGGACTCATTACTCAGTGGGGCTATTACGGACCTGATTTCTTCATTGCTAAGGAGGATTAGACTAGATGCCCTTTACAGTCCCTGTCAGCTCTGAAATTCTGTGATCTTATGAAACTTAAGGAAGGCACAGCAGGCTTTTACAGATTCTGCAAAGCATTTTTATATCTGTGATTTCATTTGATCTACATCTGGGCCCTTTTTGAATGAGGACAGGTCAAGAAGGGGATGGAGGGTCATGGATACAGCATCAGTTTTGGGGTCAAGACCCACTGGGTTTAAATCCTGACTCGACAACAGACTAGTCATGTGGCCTTGGACTCGTTAAATGATTTTTTTAATCTGTTTCAAGGGAGACAATAACCCTTGCAGGGTTACGTGGATTCAGACACGCAGGGTGCATGGCCCCTGGGAGACCCTCAACACGCGTGGGTCCTCTATCCAGTTTGTGCCCCTTCACAGGAAAGGCTCGTGGAGCTTCCAAGGGCTTGCAAATGGTAGATGGGTCCTCCCTGGGGGGCGATTTCCCTCTCGGTGAGACGTCCATCACTCGTCAGGGGGACCATTCTCCCTGAGCAGTGGTTGAGATACCCAATGACTGTATCACAAAAGCAGAACCAGGGCCCTTACATCTTAGGAAAATCCCTCCACAAAGGACAGGAGAGGAACTGGGAGAAGATGAGGAGGAGCAGAAGGGCATCCTGGGTGGGACAGAAGATATGGAGCCTCGGGAGAGCCTACAGAAGGTAGCTTCCCTGTGAGGGGGAGGGGGAGGGGGAGGGGAATGTGGGAGGGGGAGGGGAATGGGGTAGGGGCGGGGAGCTGCAGAGCCAAGTGAAAGGGCAGAAGACCTGGAGCCATGGCACCTGGTTCTCATCCTGGCAGGTGTGCCATGGGACCTTGGGCTGGTCCTGTCCTTTCTCTGAGTCTAGATTCCTCGTCTATAAAACAGGGAAAATAATACCCACCCCACAGGATTGGAAAATAATACCCAACCCCATGTTCGAAATCAAGCTGTGTAACAAACGCTTTCAAGTAAGAGAGGCTCCTTGTTGAGGGGTCCAGTGAATTTACTTTAGAATGATTTAAAAATAAACCTAGTGAAATAAGCCAGACACAGAAAGACAAGTACTGCATGATCTTACTTTTATGTAGAATCGAAAGAGGTTGAACTCGTAAAAGCAGAGAGTAGAATGGCTGGGGGTTAGGGGAAATGGTGAGGTGTTGGTCAAAGGGTCCAAAGGTCTGGTTATGTGGAATGAAGAAGTTCTGTGGGTCTGATGCGCAGCATGGTGACTACAGTTAATATCTTTGAAATCTGCTGAGAGTCAGTCTGGCTCAGCTCAGAGTCTGGAGTCTCAGGGAACCCCCTAGCTCTGCACAGCCCATAGCAGGAGCCCCCACGAGGGCAGGTCCCTTTGGCCTTCCGTCTCTCAGGAAGGAGGAGGCCTGGAGAGGCCCATCTTGGATGTGCGGAGGGCTGACAGGCACCTGGAGAAGCCAGGTGTGGGGTCAGAGAAGCTGGGGGAGGTCCAGCGGGTGTATCTTACCAGTGAGCAGCTGGAGGTCCGGGAGGGGCTCCGAGAGGACCCCCCGGCACTGCTCCTCCACCGGCAGTGGGATCACCAACAGCCCATCGGCCAGCTGAGGGAAGTCCTTGATGAAGTTGTTCTCCCTGTGGAGAGGAGCAGAAAGACTGCCAAATGAGGGCATGGAGGCTGCCTGGGCAGGGCGGGGGCGGGGGCGGGGGGGCGGTTCCGGGTTGGAGGGCAGTGAGCCTGTCGTCAGCATAGAGAGACTCATGAGTGGGTGTGCGTCCTTGCTGCCGTGCCCCTGGCTCCCCGAATCCCAGCTCAGAGGACAGGGTGCTAACGACAGGCTCCAGAATCTGGCAGGCTAGGGCTCGGAATCCTGGCCTGCCATGTCCTAGCTGTGCAGTCTGGAGGAAACTCCGGCTCCACTCAGAACGTCAGTCTCCTTGCTATAAAGTGAGATCTCGGGGTAGTTGTAAACACTTAATGGGATAAAGCTGCCAATTGCTTAAGACACAGTCTGATGCTCTACAAACTATGTATTTGGCAGCTAAACATCCCCTTGCATAAGCCATGACAATGGTGAGCCAGAATGTGAGGGAACTGAGAAGAGCATGGAGTGCTTGGAGAAAAAGGGCAGGAAGGCTTGAAAGAATGAGTGGGTGTTCAAGTGGAAAGGTCCTAAGGGATCTTTTGCATCAGATTCCTCCTTTTACAGATAGGGAAACTGAGGCCTAGAGAAGGGGAGCGACTTTCTCCGAGATCCCTTCCCCCTCCCCCCAGGCTAGTGCTCTTTCTCCCGCCCTAATCTCTTCAGGGGTCTCTATTCCTTCCCTGTAGGGCCATCCCAGGAAACTCTGTTTCCAAGACAGTCCTTTGGGGTGACCTCAGGGGACTGAACCCCAAACAATGGTAGTCTTTAGGGCAGGTGGGGTAGTAACAGTGCATCACATGGAGGTGGGCTTCAATCTTTTACAAAACAGACCTGCCTCCAAATTGAACAGCCTGCCAGGAGAGGTGGTGAGCTTCCCGTTCCTGAGAGTGTGCAAGCAGGGAATTGGACAGCCATTGGTACAGATGGTATTGGAGACATCTCCATATTAACATCTCACTTTTGAGATTCTCTCATATTCAGAGACCCTCAGAATTTGATACCCTAATTACAATCTGGAGAGGAGGAGGAGGGAAAGGAGAAGAACAAAGGGAGGTGGATATTTATCACTACATTGTGCCCCCTGGAATAGGGAAACTTGAAATGAAAATCAGAAAGAGGAAAACAAAAGCAGGGAATGCCAAAGCAATGCCTTTGGAGACTGGATCTCAGGGCCGTTCAGAAGCAGCTGTGTAAATGTCATGGGGGCCTGGGTCCCTTCCTGTCTGTACTCTATGTTCCGCAGTGCGCACCTCCCCCAGGCACCTGTGAAGCCCCCCATCGACTCATGCATTTAGTGAACAGCTCCCCTGTGTCTTGACCCCTGAGCACCTTGGAGTCCAGAGGAAGAGCCATTATCCCCATCTTCATCATCACCATCATCTCTTACAAAGTTTCAGATCCTTATCATTTGCTAGGGTCTGGTTAAGCACTTTGCATACACTTTCTCATTTAGTCTTCACAGCAAGATAGCTATGATTATATTCTTTTTGCAGATGATAAAACATGTGGTTCAGAGTTCAGAGGTGGTACAGGGTTAAGAGGTGGTGAGTGTTGGGATTTGCACCCAGGTCTGCTGATTGCACACTCGGTTTGAGGGACTACGTTTCCTCCCATCTCTCTTGTGAGGTCGGCCGGTGGGGATACAGATCTTGCCACAAAGCTACGGCCCTGCCCTCGTCAGCTGAACATACACTCTGTGTGGAGCCCTGAGCTGGATCTAGGGATTCAGCGAGGCTAGATCCTCCCCTGGTCCTCTAGATCTTCCCAGCCTATGGGGGGAGAAACAGATTAGCCATGCAGAACAGTCGGTGGGGCCCAGCCACCAGGAATACCGGGTGGGCTGGCTGCTTCTGGGACCCTTCCCTGTGAGACCCAAGCACCTGTTTCATGGGCAGGTAAGGGCAGGCCTGAGAAGATGCCAATGGCTCTGAAGACCGGGCCCCGGTTCTGCCCACAGCACACCCCAGCTGCATAACCTGGAGCATACCACTCAAACCGCAATTTTCTCATCAGTAAGATGAGGATTATAAAAGCTGTTCAGTCTGCCTTAATGAAATATCATTATTGTGATGATAAGAATAGCCTTTTCTTGAGCACCTACTATGCACCAGGCATTGTTCCAGGCACTGTGCATTCGTCCCCTCCCAACCCTGTGAAGTAGGTGCTGTTAAGACCCTCAGTTTAGAGGTGGAACAGATGAAGCACAATGCGAATGGAGATCCCAGCTGGTCTGGCCCCAAAGCTCTGCTCAGGTGCAGGGCGCTGTCAAAGCCGAAAGGGCAGGAGCACCCATGGGTGTGTGAGCCCGGACAGAGCGCAGCTGAGAGAAGGAGCCCTCTGCTCATTCTGACCAGACCACACCAGGTGCTCTGTTCTCCACAGGGCTCCCCCAGGCTGCACTCCATAGCCAGGAGCTGGGTGCCTTCCATCAGCCAATGGGGAAGTAGAGGCTCTGAGGGGAGCAGCGCCTTCCTGGACTGGCACAGAGTGCATTTGGGAAGAGGGATCTGAGAGCACGCTTATGTTTTTTCACTTTACCATCCGGGGGTCTCCATTTCACACCTTCTCTGCCACCGCTTTTAAAGACAGAGCTGCCCCCTTCACCCCCCTACCCCTCTGCCTTCTGGTTAAGCCAGGCTTCACTCGGTGGGTAAATCTGGCCCCAGATGGATAATGGGAGGAGCGCAGTGGGCAACCTCAGGATGGCGGGAGGCCTGGCTCATGATGCCCGTCTTGTTGGAAGAAGTTCTCACCCTGACCTTTCAGGAAGCAGGGAGGATCCCGAGGAAACGCTTGAGAAGGAGGCGAAAGACGTAGGGGTGGGAGTTCGCAAGCCAGTGTGAAGGCTGGGAGGGAGGGAGGCAGGGGCGAAGCAGGGGGTGGCAAGACAGCAAGACTGAGGACGGTCCCTCAGGACCCAGCCCTTCAGCGGCCGCCTGGGGACCGTCATGAGTCCTGCAGGGCCGCTGCCAGCAGAGGGCGCCCAGGGCCTTCGCATCGACCGGCTCTCTGGGGAGGTTACACCACAGACGGGAAGGGCAGCTGCTGGGAAGGTTCCACAGGGCCCAGAACCTCAGACAGAACCCAGACTGCAGCCTCAGAATCCACCCACCTGGAAAAGGGATGCAGGAGGCTGGCGGGGTGCTGGCTAAGTACAGTTGGCGGAAAGCGAATTCCGATTCTCAGAGCTTGTGTGTACGTGTGTGTAGAAAAAATTGTAACTAATCCTAATAACAGGAAGACAGGAAGAAGAATGAGTAATATTTATTTATCGATCATCTTGTTCATCATCAGCTATATCCTAGACAGGATGTGTGTGTGCGCGTGTGTGTGCGTGTGCATGTGTGTGTGATTTTAACCGCACGGGAACTCTAAGGGACAGCTACCATTATTATTCCCATTTTGTAAATAGAGAAAAGGGCACCCGGAGGGGTTAAGGAACTTGTCCAGCTGAGGTCCGCAGTTAGGAAGTTACAGTAGCCAAGACCACTCGCAGCCAATGGGGCTCCTAGCTTAGTGCCTGGCACTCAGTAAGCACCTGTTCAAGGGATCAATCCCAAGTCTGTGCTCCTGATCACTGACATCACCTGAGACGGGGCAGTTCTGTTGTTCCCTGCCAGAGTGGGTGTGCTCTGTGCCCACGGTGGGTCTGTGTGTGTACACAACTGCATGTCGTGTTTCAAAGAGTGACAGGGCCCCGGTTTCTGTAGACAAACATCTCCCCAAAAATATCCATGAAAAGAGTTCAAGCTCCGTTGATATTCTATGAAAACGATTCATCACATTTTTAAAAAGCAGATGCTAGGCTCCGGGGACTCGGGAGAACTCTGGGAGTATGAGGTCTCATTCATTCCACAGACATTGATTTGGGTCTCCCATGTCGCAGGCGTTGCTTTGCACGCTGGGGACACAGCAGCAGACAGAGAAGCGCCTCCATTCACGAGGACCAGGGGAGAACGCAAGCAATGTAGCAGGGTCTGCAAGGCCTTCGAGATCTAGCCCCTGCCTGTTCTCCTGCCTCATGTTTTGAGCCCCTGTCCCCTGGTTCTCCAGCTGCACTGATTGCTCTTAAGTTCCCCTTGTAGGGCATGCCCGCTTCTTCCAAAGGGCCCACTGGGGATTTACCCTCTCTCTGGAAAGCCCTCACCCCTGCCCCCTGCACCCGGCCATGGCCTACTTATCATTCAGACCACACGATACTTCCCTGCCTTTGAGAAATCTGCCCAGGACTGGTTCTCCTGCTACGCTCTGCTTTTGCTTCCACGAAGAGCTTCCCAGCTCCTAACTGTAGAGGTGCTCAAGGCGACCCTGTAGGATAGTACCTTGCCCACTAAACTGTGAGCTCCATGGGGGTCAAGACTGTGCCTCTTTTACTGCTGCCTCCCCAGGGCCTAGCACGGTGCAAACTACATACAAAGTGAGTGCTCAGTGAACACGGGACCTAAGGGATATTGGGAATTGGGGTCTAAAATTTTAGCTCTTCCACACGGAGCTTCAAACCCTACTTTCTTCCTCTTCCTAAGTGCACAGGCACCCGGGCTCCCATGGAGCTCAGCTAGGAGCCAGGGGCCCCAGGCCCCCTGAGGTGGCAGGGACCAGATGGGAAAGGGTGATCCCTCTAAGCAGGGGTTGGTCAGACCTCCCACTCTTGATGAAAACACTGTGTCCGTGTGTGCATTCACACTGGGGCCAAGAAGCAGGGGATGGGGTGGGGTGAGGAATACCAGCAGGAAGCAAGAGCCCAGTTAAAAACCACCTCCTCTTCCATGTCATCATCCCAATTTTCCCCAGTTGGAATAAAACCTTCCTATCACTTTTCCCTCATGCATCTTGTCTGTGATTAGATCCCAGAAGCGGCCTTGGGGTCTGGTGGTGGAAAAGGCAAGTGCTCAGAAGTCCTTCAGACATGGTCCAAATGCTGCCTGACTTTGGGGAGGTCACTTCCATTTTAGGAACCTCAGTGACCTCACCTGCAAAATGGGAGT